ATTACAAGAACTACAAATAGGATGTCAAAGTCACCAGATTCAATCATCAAGTAGAAAACTTGGAGATATGAGAGGTTTTTTGGTGCTGAGATGATCATATCCCGCACTATTGATGTGGAATTTCTAAGAACAGTGCCCTCCAAATTCTAAAGATGAAGCTTAATAGAATATTTTATTCTCTTTCTCATCTCCTAAAAGCATGATTTTTGCTCATTTTTTGTTACCGCTTGGAACAGCGATTGTGCTGAATTTAAAAGATTAGGTTTTTTCATTTCTACTGAAAAAAAAAATCAGCAAGAGTGGATTCCTGGAACTTGGCTGGCTCATTCATCATGGGGAACATAGTGTTATGGGGGTGATCTGGGGTTGGCACCGATGAGAAAACAGGCTCTACCTTTTAGAGCATTTGGTATTTTGTGAAAGCTGTTGTTTAATTCTTACATGTAACATATAGCTCCTATCAAGGAAGTATTAAGCAAAATGTTCTTATTAGCTACAGTCTCAACCACAGTTTACAGAAGTGAAGAGCTCAAAACCAGTTTGTGAACCACACTGACAATCTTGACATCAAAGTGATGGTAAAAGATAGATTTGCAGTCACAGCAAAAGTTCAACCACTTTTTCCTTGCCAGGATCATCTTTCCCCACTGCATCCAGAAACACCAAACTGCTGTTCTTCCTTTAAACAGTGACATTTCTATGCCATTAGAAGAGCTGACAGACAATGTAGGGGGCAGAAGGTCACCAGAGCCCAGTGTACCCACCCACAGCCAGCACTTGCATAAAAGTCAGCTGCAAACCTACAGCAATGTCCTCATAAAATTTATTTAAAAAGAAAGTCCCCAGAGAATCCCACTGACAAAGTACTAGTTCCTGTTCTCCACTGATGATCTGGAAAAAAAATGTAAAACTAAAGGAACTACTTAAGGTATAACCTTCTTCTGTAAGCCTTTCTGCCCTGCTGTAACATTCATTCAGTGTAACAGGAAGATTTTCTCCACCTTCCAGTAAACTTCAGATCACAATATTTTTGGAATTTCGGTTCTGCATTTTAGAAGTTTCATGACAGTAATTTGCTATTGGTACACTTACAACCAATAAATAAATTTGGCATTTAAGGCCAAAATAGACCCTGATGCCAAGAGGGAGGCCATCCATAAGATATCATCTGCCAGGCTCAATCCTGGAAATTTTATTATCTATTCAACTTGCTTGATTTTGTTGCTGTTGTTCAAAAATAGTTTTGAAACATAAAAAAACCCAACCAAACAAAAAGATAAAACTTAATTTTCCAGCATTCTCAGACCTTTAAAACAAAGAGGAAGATACCACAAAACTCCCAAACAGCTTCATTTTGAAAAACGAATTTTGTAGCAGAAGAGTATCAATAGATGCTTTCATATGCTGGACTGGTTTTTGGCTCAGCTCCATGAGCCCTCTGAACCACACTGCTTTGCACCCCTCAACTGGGAGAGCAAAGTGTGCTTTGTACCAGTATGAGTGAGAAAGTGAAAGGGGGATCTTGCTCAACCAACAAACCCAGTCCTCAGCCAATGGGAAACACCATTATTTGGAAACCTACCAAAGCCTCGGACAGGTTTTCGCAAGAGACACGGAACAAATCAGGTCACTGTGGTACAAATAAGGATGCCTGTAAAGCCTTGGCAATGCTTCCGAGATGACACCCAGCACAATTTGGATGCTGCTTCCCTGGTCTCTCGCAACTATAGTGGTGACCTGCCACCTACTTTGAATTTAGCAATGAAACACTAACCGAAAGAAGGGACAATCCAACCAGTGACTCACATTGCCGGAAGCTAATGGAACTTTACTTTCCGTGGTCAAAACCAAAAGATTAAGAGGACAAAGCACTCCTTTCAACCCAGCCCTTACCCAGAGTTCTTAGTGTACAAAAGGGGACATAAAGCGCGGCTCTGCAGGCAAAGTAGGTTCAACCAGCCTTTATAAACCCATCACAGAACTTCTGTGTGCTCCATGCCATGTTGGTAGCACATTATACCAAGAGCTCCAGGCCTTGTTTGTGCAAACATCCAAGTGTGGCACCTCTAAAATGCTGTCTGTAAGAAAAATTAATTAACTCCCCAAAATGTCTCAGGGTGATGATTAATGGCCCAGTGGTCAACTGGAGATCCTGCACTGCTACCAGAAGCCCCTAGCCTCCATGGTGCAAGTGGCAATGCACAATCCAGTGACATGAGTAAGAAGAGTAAAATAAAGAGGAAAATCAAGAGTGACTAAGAAGGAAAGGCACAATCCTTATGGAAGGTACAGTGTAGTGAAAAATAACCTTACATCATTACTTTTTAGTAAGGAAGAGTTGTAAGTCTACATTTAAACTAAATACCTGAAACGTTAGTGTGGTTGAATGTATTCTCTAACTTGCTCTTTGCAGTAATGCCTTTAGTACCTTTTAGCTAAATATTCCAAACTAAACTTTGCATAAAAACATTTTAGTGTCTCAGATGAAAAGCACTTGGGCCTATCATGTGAATGTCTCACCACCTTAGGAACCCTGAGTGAAATTCAGCTGAGAGGGGAGTTGTGGAAACCCTCACCCACACAATGTGGGATTCAGGGCCAGACTGCAAAGAGCAGCTTGTTCCCAAAGTAAGCATGTAATTTACATGAGAAAAGATAAAGATCAGCTCATCCATGAATCAGAAAGTGAACTTGCCCTGTGAATACTCCTGGGTCTGAGAAATCCAACGAAAATGCAGTTTAATCTTCATAGCTGCCATTGGAGCCTTTCTGTGTGTGGGTTGTATTTGACCGTGAATTGAGAAAAATCTTCAGCATTAGCCACAGAAAATTTTCTTTGCTACCACTTTCTTTTGAGAGTATAGTACACATTCTTCAAAAAGAATATGCCTTCAGTTCGATTTGCAAAGTCTCCTCGCCTCAGTCCACCAGGTGTCAAGAAACAGATGTGGTTTGTGAGCTGAAAGTCAGTGCCTAAATCAGCACAGACAGAGAGGGAGACACATACCTCACACAGCCAAGGTGAGTCTCTCAGCCTTGGTGCCATCCTGTGAAGCACCAGAGATAATACCAGGATCGAGCCCGAGGGGCAGCAGAGGCAGGAGAAAGTACCAGGATGACAGAGGTTTGCAGTCTTGTTCTCTTACTGCCTTTTCTGCCCCTTCTCAGAATTTTCCTGTCTCCTTGATACATTAGAGACCATATTACATTACCTCATTAGGATACACTAATAAATATATATAGATACCATAAAATTCACCTTTTCTCCAGTTCTTACAGAATCTTCCCTTTCCCAACTGAACAGAATTGGGATGCCAGTTAGTAAGAGATGCCCAGCCCACTGTCCAAGCAGAACAATCCCCAAGCAGGACCAGCATAAAGAGTATGGTCCTATTCAAACCCAGCAACCAAGCTCTGCTGCAGGCAGTTTATGGCATAGGGCTCAAGTTGACCAAAAACTTGCATAAGCTCATCACATTTTTAGAGTCTTCCATTTGGCATTCAGATGTAATCAGTGAAAAAGGATGAAAGTTTAAGTACAAACAAGATGGACTAAAGACTGTGGAAAGAACAGATAATAAAGGATAAAAAAGGATCTGAAAGAAGAAAAAACAAATATCAATGCCTAGAAGTTACTTAAATCATTCTTTCTCATTATTACATTACAGGAAAAAGAGAATTTTGGGGTTTTTCTCAGTGCTGAGAAATTTGAGTTGGATTCTTGCCTCAGTAAGTCAATGCAAATCCCAAATAACACTGTTCACTTCAACAGTTCTCTGCATTTTAGCAAGAGTCCTTGAAAATACAACCAGATGCAGGCATACACAGTGTCCTCTCAGATGAGCTGTCACCTCCTATAGCCACAGGTTCAATTAAACATGCAGAACCAAAAAGCTCTGGAACCAGTGTCAGACTGTGACTGAAAGCTGGGAAAGTGCCAAAAGGAATTATTACATTCCATTCATGTATTAGTTTAATATATACTACAAAATCTGTCGGCATTCAAGGAGCACGTGGGTGACACACTCAGTCACATGGTTTAGACAGTCCTGTGAGGAGCAGAGAATTGGACTCAATGATCCTTGTGGTTCCCTTGCAGCTCGAGATATTCTATGACTTGATAAGTGAACAGCGCTATCTCAGGCAGGAGTAGGTGATTTCATGGACAAAGGTCAACAAACAAATTACAAAGGAAATAGTCAGGGATGGCCAGTCTCACATCACTAATCTGATAACTTTGACTGTTGAGGAGTAGGAAGCAAAAAGGCTACAAAATGTGGCCAAGGCTGAAGGCAAAGGACTGGCTGAGCTGGGCAACTCCTCAGACCCAGGGAATTTCAAATGTTTTTCATATTCATGTTTATGTCCCTAAAGTTACTGTTCCATTTTACTATGTATGAACCAAGATGCTGCCTTCCTCTGATTGGATAATTTACTGTTATTTAAAAATATTTACAAATTACATTTTCCTATTGTACTGCTTACATTCCTAAGTAATTATTATATGCCTCCTTCCAGATCTACATGCTGTAGGACCAGGGTGGGAGTGGATCTAGATTTGTAGGCACAACCTTTTTGTGAAAACCTGTACATTTCAGAGAGTGTACTCCGCTGCTGTGAGTCCCACAGAATCTTCTGAAGCTGACTGTGGGCCATCTCCATCCTCAGTAGCACTGTGAGAAGCTGCCTAAGAAAAGACCTGAGAAATTTGCCAACCAACAAGTCAAGGGTGTTTTACTTTTCAAACTTCCCAGAATAGTATGAAACCCCAAGTATGTAGTGGGGAAACACTCAAATCTTACAACACTGGTATCTGCTCTCTCTCACCTCTGTCGTTACCTGTACATAGCTACTGGTCAATCTTTAATACAGACCAGTTTGAAGGACAGGTGGGTCTAAAGCCACCCATCCTGTCAAATAGATCCAAAATTCTTTGGAAACAGAATTATCTCTATTGATTATGTGCCAGTCAATCACCAAACTGTAGTTTCAATCTTGATTTACTGCTGCCTTTGGGCAAAGACAGGCCAGGATTATCTGGCTGTTCCTTTAAGGGAACGTGGATGCTGAAAGAAAGCCAACTGGAGGCAATTTCAAAGGAGGTGTCAGAGCAAGCTGAAGTACCAGAAAAACAGGAAAAGCGTAAAACTGAAACAGAATCCAGTAGCTTCAATACACACGGGGACGGCCAGAAGAAAGACTGGAAACCCTAAAAGGAGACTTTTCCCGTGGAAGTAAGAAAGGAAGAGCTCCAGCAGACAAGGTACGATTATATATGAACACTGGAAGTCAGAAACCCTCCAGTGACAAGGGAAACTGGGAGGAAAGAAGAGAGTTGTCTGGTGGGGAACTGGCAGGCTGGGTCAGGCTGTGTGGTAGAAGAGCTGACAGCTCTGGCACCAAGAATTGCAGGAGGAAACAGAGAATTGTTTTGCTGCAGAATGACACCAAGGCATCCTACCATATCTTGAAAAGTTAAGAAAAGCCTAGATTTATAAAATATGAAGTGACCATATGGGGTGACTGAATGGGAACAAGTTGGATCCTTCCCCCTAATGCACCAAGGCACAGCTCTCACTGTCAGAGGTTTGTGGTGATGAATGCAGAAAGGAGTGGTTATACGAGCAGCTGCAGAGCTGAGCCGGGGCTGCACTGATGGCCAAGGGCTGGGGTGTGAGGGGAACACACACCCCACTGTGGATGGGGTGGCACCCACCTCCTACTCCCCAAGGGCAGAGCAGGCTGCCCCTGAGAGCCCTCAGCCCACTGCCTTTCCCAGCTCAGCACCAGTGGCAGGTTTTTTTCTGCACAGCTGCTTCAGTCAAGTGGGAAACTTCTCATCTGACTTCCCTGCCAGCCCAACACAGGCACCTCAAAGAGCAAAACTACCGACCAGAGGTACATGTCTAGCCAAAACCTCCAAACAGTGCATGTGCTGGGGCTGGAGGAACACAGAGACCAGGGCACACCTGAAGTTCTTCTCTATATAGTCAAACCATAAATTAGTAATTAGGCACAGCCCTGCCACCAATGGGCAGCATCAGAGGGGCAGCACACAGCACCCTGTGAGCCCTGGGCAGACAGCAGCTTGCCCCGCTCACCTCCAAGGTGGGGGACATTTTGAAAGGATCCATGAGACCTTCTGCCCTTGTGTCACACAGCCTGCTGTGGGGAGAGCAAACATGGCAAGTCCCAAAACAGACTAGAGCAGAGAATCTAGGATGGGAAAGGAAAAGTACGGCCTGGCTAAGTCACAGAGCTAACTTGTACAAATGTCCCTCATTACAGTGCAAGAGATGCTCTTCACCCCACTCTTTTTGATGCCTTTCTCAGAATCTCAGGATACCACATGAAGCATTCCCATGGCATCAGGGTGCTGTAAGGCTTTAATGATTCTCATGTGAAAGAAAAGCAAGGGGATGTTATGGCGTCTAAATGAGTGTTATCCTGGGCAGGGCCGAAACTAGTCCTGCCAAAGCCACGTTTGCAGCAGACTGATATTACAACAACTGGGGAGGGAGGAGGAGTAGAAACGCTTCCTTCCTTAAATGCTTGGAGTGTCTCACAATCCTCCCATTTTCGTTTTCCCTTTGCTGGGGTCGCTTTGCCCTCTAGTGGTTCACACTACAGAGCTGAATTCGTTTCTGCTCTAAGTCCTCTAATGTCGATGTTTTCAGCTGTTATGCAGCAAAGGCAGTAATTCCAACTCCCCCTGACCTGTACCCATCTCTTAGTGCATCAGGCCGTTAGTAAAATGTGCTGTCATCTGTGAAGTTAGAAAAGAAAATGCATAATGCCTACTGCTTTATATATTATATATATATCACATCCTGAAAAAGAGCATCCTCTGTCCATCCAATCTGGAGAAATGTACTCATCAGGACACGAATATTTTTGGCTGAATAGCTCTTTCTTCAGCTTTTACAAAAAAAATTGAGGAAAAACACTACTTCATTTTTAAGATTAAAACTTTTGCCTAAGGGAGAAGTTCTCAGTAGGGAAGTAGATAAAAACCAAAAGCAGAATGGTGGAAATCCCATCTGCTTATTAGCAACCTCCAAAGGGCTTCAAAAGATAAACCGGATGCATTTAGATTCCTGACACTGCCTATACCAACAGGAATATGGACTATAACTTACTGTCTGTTTCCTTTGCATGCCCCCATTACACCCATTTTCACTTCTCTTTGGGCTCTGTCCAGCAGTCGCAAATTTTAATCTATTCCATCATCTCACCTAGAGACAATATGAAAAATATCTGCTTCATTTCATTTTAGTACAGACTATTATCTTCCGTGACCAGTTTTATAGATGGAAGATACAATGTCTTTATCCAAACTTGACTTCTGATGCAGTTAATTGCAGATTGTCAGTTAACGACTGTCTGGCCTGACATCCTTTGTGTATTTATTAGCAACTCCCATCTGCTGGGCTCCAGAGTTTACCAGCTCTCCATAAAAGGAAAGACACACACATCTAGGAGCCGAGGGAGAAAAAACAGCAACTGTGAACTAGTTACTTGTCACTCAACAAGGTGCTTGGCTGTGATCAGTCATGGTGTCAAGGGAAATCTCCATGCTCAGCTGTCTGCAGCCACTTCTGTCTAGAAAGGCTTTTCCTGCATTTATCTTGGTCAGTGCACACTGAATGACAGGGTAGTTTGTCTCCCAGTTAAAGATCTTCCAATTCATTCTTTATGCACTTTCTACAAAGACAGAGAGGCAGCAGACAAATGTAAGTAAAAGCTGTTCACTTTAACTTCATAAAGAAAAATGTTTTCCAACTGTCAACCTCTAAAGAGCACTCCTTAGCATTAGAAACCACAAAATAGAAATTAATTACAAGACCTCTTTGCACTTGCATAGGCAGTATCATCCCTCTAACAAACCTTCTCTTTGGCTTTGCTGCAGAGGCCATGGGCTGCTGGAAGCAAGAGAACAGCAACACCTGGACTTTTCCCACCCTGATTCTCTGCCTCTATGGATTCTTCTACATGATGAAACCATCAGAACCTTTCCTAGCACCCTATCTAACAGGACCAGATAAAAACCTGACCGCAGATCAGGTATGGTTTTACTCTGATGTTTCTTTTACTTGGAGCAGCAAAAATAGAAAAGGAAAACTTTGTTTAAAGTATTTAAACAAAGATCAAAAGAAAAAAAAAGCACAACTGTAATCAGCTTTGGCAGGTTACAGTCTGCAGCAGACAGCATAAATAAAAGATCCATTTAATGGATCTAACATCCATTTGCCTGCCCAACAGTCCCATGCTGCTTCAGTGTGGTTATATATTTTATGAATTCCTTCAGAGCAAAAACTTCCCTCTACAAAGCTATTAAAAATGCATGAACTTCCTTTCCCTGAGAATAAAGACACAGACATTTCCTCTTCTGTTCTAGGTTACCAACCAGATTTTGCCTGTTTGGACATACT